TGACATTTTTAACAATTATTTTAAAGTGTAGATGTTTTAATAATTATGTTAGGAATTGTGACTAGTTTGCTAATTTTCCCATAAATTTATGACTCACTCTATGTTATAATAAATTGGGGTTGATCTAAAATAGGTCAATAGGAAGATATCATGAAATTAATTGTTTTTTCAATATTATTTTCAAGTGTATTAGGTCAAAATATGAATCACATGTGGTTTTACAATAAAATAAAATTTTAAAAATATGATTTTAATTATTTTTTTGAGAAGGGTTTAAATTTGGACCAATCACATTAAGCAACATAATAAAAAAATATTTAATAATTTTACTTTAAGGGAGCTATTAAAAATAAGGGCAAATATGAGCCAAAGGACTAATATCAAGGGTATTTTTGAGCCAAAAGGTAGACGCAGGGGGTATTTTAAGGCCGAAAAGTGGATGGAGGATAATTTTGTACCAATTCAAATACCTGAGGGCATTTTAGGCCCTTACATTTTACCAAAAGATACATTTTTCTGGAGTTTTATTAAAATAAACTAAACGTATCTTTAGTAATGTTTTATAAATTATTATATTAAAAAAATTCAACGGAAAAAACTAACGGCAAACGAAAACAATTTTCTGTTCTTAGTTTGACTAGTATACTCTTTAAAATGGTACACTCAGTAGATCAATATAATAGAATAGCAAAAATAAAATAAAATAGATTTAAACCTTGCACTACTTCTAACTAACAAAGTTTCTTTACAAGCAAAATTTAAATCCTTTGAACTTTTACTAGAAACACTATTTATACATTGCCACATTTCATCTTCTTCAATGATTTGATTTTTTTTTTCCATTTCGACCAACTAAAAACTTCTATTAAACAATTCTAATTTTGAAATATAAGTTCCGCTCAATATTTTAAATTTTTTGATATATTTTACAATCGAAATGATTTACATTTGCGGTAGATTGAGTTTTAAAATTTGAGCTTCGAAACTCTTCCATGGCGGATTATTTCAGTAACCGAAAGAAACTACCAGACGTAAAAGTGTAATGTAGGGGATATATTGATTTAATTCATCTTGATTACATATTGGTGACACATAAGAATTGGCATGTTATGTTACTTTGTTAAAATTAATGTTTTGCTTTGGGTATTTTTTGTCATCTCTAAATTATGAAATAATGTTGTTTTCATTTTATTTTTATTTTTTATGAAAGATGACAAAGCATTTAAGTCAAGGCATGGAAGTTGTTGAGTCTTTTGGAGAAGGAACTCTTTCTTCTGCAGAGCCTTCCAACATACTTAGTATTACATCAATTTATGATGATGATGGAGTTGTGGGATTTGAGAAAGATAATGAAGAAATTGACACAAGGAAAGGAGCGGGATGTTATCTCCATCTTTGGAATGCCTGGACTCGGTAAAACAACTTTGGCAAGAAAGGTATACATCAATCCCTATATTGTTAATGTTAAAGAATGGTGTGCTGTGTCGCAAGCATATAATAGGAGGATGTTATTGGCTGAGATTTTCAAACAAGCAACAAATGATGATAGCGAAATCAAAGAGGACGATGACATAGCTGACATGTTGCGCAGGGTTGTAATAGGAAAGAGATACCTAATCGTGTTAGATGACATTTGGGATGTCAAGGCATGGGAAGATTTGGAAAAATGTTTTTTTTCAAGGTGAATATGGAGGCAGAGTAATGGTCACAACATGAATTGAACAAGTGGCAAAGCATCTTCAGCCCCACAGTACGTGATCCTTATTATCTTAGATTTCTAACGTCTGAAGAGAGTTGGAAATTATTGGAGAAGAAGGTATTTCGAAGAGAGAGTTGTCCCCTGGATCTACAGGAAGCAGGGTTACAAGTCGACATACGCTGCAAAGGATTGCCTCTTGTGGTTGTCCTGGTTGCTGGAATTATTGCAAAAATGGAAAGGAAGGCGTCCTTGTAACTTGACGTTGCCAATGACTTGAGTTCCATTGGTTTAGGAGAGCAGAGTATGAAGGTAATACAATCAAGTTATGGCCATTTAGAAGACCACTTGAAGTGTTGCCTTCTTTACATGGGATTGTTCCCAGAGGACCATAAGATTCCAGTGGATGATGTGCTGAAGAGTTTGTATTGAATGCCGAAAGAGATAACATGGAGGAAGCATCTCTAGCTTGCTTGAGTGATTTGAGAATTAATCGTGATGTAGAATACTGCTCACTTCATGATATAGTGCGTGAGTTCTGCTTGAGAAAACTCACAGAAGTCACTTACATGCATTCCACGGAATCACGGTTATGCATTTATATTCATGATGATCTTATTTAACAATTAGATCATTCCGACTACCAGCTGGATAAGATTTCAATGCTTGATTTCAAGGAAACAAATTCTTTGGAGTTCATTGCTCACCCAAAACTCAATATATGGAATGACCTATATTCAAATCCTTTAGATTTATTTGTTAAATTAAGATATGTTCGGGCATTGCATTTGATGGATGTGGAATTGTCAAATTCATGGGCTACTGCAATGCAATCGCTAACTCGGTTGAGGTACCTTGCACTTTTTGTCAAACAATTTGAATTGAAGTGGATCATATATATCCTTACATCATTTTAAAAAAATAAAAGTAAAAAATACAACTTATTTTTTCATTTCCGTTAGATAAAGGGTATATGAGAGCTCATTTTGTAACAGTAGGGGTATATGAGAGTCATTTGTATAACGGTAAGGGTATATATGAATCACTTTCATAACGGAATGTATATCAGCTCTAAATGACAAAGCTGAATGGTATATCATGTACTTTTCCCAGAAATAAAAGATAGAATCCACATACCAAATGCAACAAATGCTACCACCCGTACACATGTCTCAATTTATATGCACTTTGAATTTTGAGAGTCAAACAATTTTAGTTTAACTATGAATTTGAATATAGAATTTCATATTTTTTTAAATAAAATTTATATACTTGAAAAATGCGTAGAAAATGCTATAGTCAAATTAATTACCAACTCAAAATATTTTATGAAAAAGTTACTATTAAAAATAGGCTCGTTTCTAAGAATTTAAAAGGTACCATATGAATTGAGATGAAAAATAATAAATAATACATAAAGGGTGTGTTTAGTATAAAAGAAAACATTTTCTGAAAAATATTTTTCAATTTTCTCATCAACTTATTTTCCTTCAAAAAATTAAGGAAACATTTACGTATTTTATTTCTAATAAATACACAAAGATGATTAAAAAAAAAAAGTAAATTCTAATAAAAAAAATTAATTGTGAACACTCAAAAAAAATAAATAGAAAAAGCTTTATTTATTTACGTGCTGATATTTCCCACAACAATTATTTATCATTTTTAAAATTTCTGTTACTATCAATTTAGGGCAACCCTTTGGGGCAATTGGTCTCTCTGTAACCACCCTTAACAACGGAAGGTGAGATTTTATTTTATTGTTTTTTTTTTTTTTTAATTTAGGTTTCCATTTCTTCTTTTGCTATTTCCTTGCTGATCATTTGTATAATATTCATATTATTATAAAATCATCTAACAAAGTTCAAATATTCATACTTTTATGTCATTTCGTTTCTAGCTTATCCAACAAAGTTTTTTTTACAACCAAAATTCAAATCCTTTGAGCTTTTACTAGTGAAGTGATACTATTTCTGATTCATTGAGACAAACAATACCAAACAAAAAACAAGAAATCTATGTTCTTTTGGTATCCGATCTATTAAATATAAAAAATTAACCAAACAAGAAATTGATGAATTAGGAAAGCTGATCCCGGATCCAAAGGTTAATTTAGGGTTCATAGGAACCCAATAGCTTTAGCTCATATCTTGTATGTATATGTATTAGAATTTTGATAAATATTTAGTTGTGAATCAGTTAATATTGTGTATTCATTTGAGATTTATGACAATTATAACCTTCAAATTATAAATCCAACTAGTTTTAAGTTTAGAAACAAAAGAAAGCACTAATGAAAAATCACTCCCACTGAAAAATGTTTAGTGGTTATTCCCACAGATATTTTAATTGAAATGGTAAAAAAAGAAAAAAATAATAATAGTGTTTTTACATGGAAAAGTTAGGAAGCTTCCCAGTATTTCAGGGATAATCTATTTCCCACCATGCGTTTTATGGATGGGAAAATCATGTTTTGATAACACAAATTTCTTATTGATTTGCAGTGGGAAGAACCTCTGTTTTTAGTAGTGAAGATAGTTGTTTGAAGCTACAAATTTATGCAAAGGAAAGAATTGTTCATATGTTTCATCTGAAATGAAGGGAACTCTTGTATATCCATGTTGAGCTCATCTCTGGCTTCTCTGGACACTAGGTAATTGCTGAATATATTGTTGAACCAAGTGAGGTTATTACAAATAAGTCCGCAGTGCGATAGGCTATCAATTACACCTATTTCCTCAAATAAGACTTTTTTTTTCTGCTGTGTGGCATTACTTCATTTTATATTTTTTGTTTTGATTTTTTCCTCTATAGTATGAATATCGTTAAAAGTTCGTTTTCTTTTATGAAAATGTGACAGAGCAATAAACTTCAAGGCAGTTGGATTGTGAAAGACACCAAACCAATTGACATGGATGTTGTTGAGACTTGTGGAAAAGGAGCTCTATTGATTCCGGGGAGTTCCGTCCAACGTAGTTTTTCATCAATTGATGAAGAAATTGTGGGCTTTGAAAAAGATGCAGAAAGTATAATGCAGAAATTGACACGAGGAACAAAGAAGCTGGATGTTATATCAATCTTTGGAATGGCTGGAATCGGCAAAACAACTTTGGCCAGGAAAGTGTACAACATTCCCTCTATTGTTAATCACTTTGATGTTAAAGTATGGTGTTCTGTTTCTCAAGAATATGATAGGAGAACGTTGTTGGGTGAGATCCTTAAACAAACAACACGTAAGAGCGAAATCATTGAGGCTGATGACAGACCTGACATGTTACGCAGGAGTCTGATAGGCAGGAGATACCTCATTGTATTAGATGATATATGGGATGTCAAGGCATGGGAAGATTTGGGTTTATGTTTCCCTATGGGTGAAAATGGAAGTAGGGTAATTGTAACAACTCGAATTGAACAAGTGGCTAAGCATCTTCAGCACCACAGTGATCCTTATCCTCTTAGATTTCTAACACGGGCCGAGAGTTGGGAATTATTGCAGAAAAAGGTATTTCGAGGAGAGAGTTGTCCACCGAGTCTGCTGCCAGCAGCGCTACAAGTTGCCCAACATTGTAAGGGATTGCCTCTTGTCATTGTCCTAGTTGCTGGCCGAATTATTGGGGAAAAGGAATGGGAGTCGTCCAGCCTGTGGCTAGAGGTTGCAAATGACTTAAGTTCTTATGTTTTAGGAGAGCAGAGCTTGAAGGTGATACAGTCAAGTTATGACCATTTAGAAGACCACCTAAAGTCTTGCCTTCTTTACATGGCATTGTTTCCAGAAGACCATGAGATTCTAGTGTCTAATTTGTTGAAGTTGTGGATGGCTGAAGAGTTTGTACTGAATGTCGACACAGAGAATATGGAGGAAGCATCTAGAATTTGTTTGAATGATCTACTTAACAGAAGCCTAGTTATGGTCTCTAAGAGGAGTGTTAATGGTGACACAAAATACTGCATACTTCATGATGTAGTGCGTGAGTTCTGCTTGAGAAAACTCACAGAAGACAAGTATATGCAGACCGCAGTGCCATACAATCCTTATCAACATTTGCATTCCATGGAATCACGGTTATGGATTTATATTCATGATGATCTTGTTGAACAATTAGATCATTCTGAATATCAATTGGATAAGATTCCAATGCTTGAGTCCACCAACAAAACATACTGTTTTGGTAAATGTCCTATGTCGTCTTTGGAGTTCATTGCTCATCCAAAGTTCAACACATGGAACCTATCAAATCCTTTACCTTTACTTGTAAAACTAAGACTTGTTCGGGTGTTGCATTTTCCGCATGCAAAGCTTCCAAGTTCTTGGCCTAGTGCAGTACAATCTCTAACTCACTTGAGGTACCTTGAGATTTATGTCCAAGAATTTGATTTCAAGTGGATATCTCACCTGCTCAATCTTCAAACTCTCATGGTTCGTTCATCTAATTCTCTAAGGACCTCGCTTGCAGCTATCTGGAAAATGACGAGGCTAAGACATGTAGATATACACAATTTGTCTTTGATATGGGACGACAATGATTGGGAAACTTTTGAAGAATCTTCTACAACTATGCTAGAGAACTTGAAGACATTCCGCGCTCATGTTATGCGCGTGGATGATAGGACCCCAAGGTTTTGGTGGAGGTTTCCGAATATTGAAGAACTCAGATGCTTCCACATTATTGATTTACCTAGCTGTTCTTTGTTTCCCTCAGTGGAAGTTCATACTCAGCTTCAATCTATTAATCTGGTCATAAGCCCTCAGGGATTCTGGGATTCAGTTGGTTGGGAGAGCTACTTTGTCTTCCCTTCAAATCTTAGGGATTTGTGCATTGGCGGCTGTTTCATAACAGAAGAAATGGTTTTAAATATTGCAAGATTGAAGAAGCTTGAGAGTCTGACATTAGAGGGAGGATTTCATTGGGAGGAAACAGAGTACCATTGTTGGGACGTCACAAATGTGAAGTTCCCTGCACTCAAATACTTGGCATTACACTTTATGAGGATGGAAGAATGGAAACCTTCAGAGGAATCCTTTCCCGTGCTTGAGAAGTTAGTTATAAGAGAATGTCACTACTTCAAGGAGATCCCTATTAGCTTTGCCGATATTCCAACACTGCGACTTATTGAACTGTTTGAGTGCACTGATTCACTTGTGGTTTCAGCTGTGAACATCAAAAATGAAATAGAAGAAAACACTGGATGTGAGTCTCCGGGTAAGAAAGTTGTATGGAGACGGATCTCTAAAGAAAAAAGAAAAGGATGCCACGGGGTTTTTAATAAAGAGAAGACAAAAGGATTTTTCGAATTGAAGTGATGTATTGATAAGGGATTGTTTTATGGAAAAACTATGTAATTACATAAATATTTCTATTGTATCTACTTATTCTTCCTAGTTTGAAATCGTGTGTCTATAGTTTAGATAGCCATTAACGCTTAAGCCATTCCAAAAGTTGATTTTTGATTTTTTGAAGTGTTTGACAAATATAAAAATAACTTAGAAATATTTAATCCGCTACTAAGTACTCCTACCGCCTAGTTAAGCACGAAACATTTTAATTCTTTTTTTACTCTATTTATTAATTTAGAAAAGAAATACAAGAAAGAGATGAGAGGTAGTTACTTATTGTTCACATTCGCATCTATTTTATAAAAAAATATTCGAATCGTGACAATTTGATACGTCCTCTATCCCTAATTACTTGTCTACTTTTTCGTTTTTAGTTGTCCTTAATTACTTGTCCATTTTGACAAATCAAGAAAGGACAATTCTTTTTACCTATTATACCCTCAATTAATTACTTTGAAAAAGGTAAACTTTTTGAAAATTTTAAGTTTTTAATGCATCCACTTCATAATTAATAGGTGTAAAATGGTAAATTCACTATATCAATCATTGTTTTCTTAATAAGTGTGTCGATTCAAAAGAGGATAAATAATTAGGGACAAAGGAAGTAGTTAATTATTGTTCACATTGACATCTATTTTTTTTTTAAAAATCGAACTGTGACAATGTTCCATTCCTTGGTATTATCTATAGTATTCTCTATGTTCCCTTTTAAATGTCACTTTTTTAGATTTCACTTGCATTAAGAAATTAAGTAACTTTACCCTTTATAATGTTTTCTTAAATCAACTTTTCAATAAATGATGAATATACTAGATTTCAAAAATTAAAATGCATTTGGATGACTACTTAAATTTTTGAGTTTATTTTCAAAATCATATTTTATAGAATAGTGAATGAAGAGAGTAATTAATCAATGTATGTAGTACTCCAATAAATATTAATTACTTATTAGTTTTCCAAGGTTAGTCAAAGTAAATATTTTCAAGACTAATTAATTATTCTATCAAGGTTATAATAGAAAGAATATAATAATTTATGTATTGATTTTATGAAATAACAAGTATTATAATCCAACTATTTATATAAATGAGTGACATATAAAAAGAAACGGAGAGAATAGTACAATACACTATACTATATTAAAAAAAGATGCATAATAATTGTTTGGTTTTAATTACTTTCCCATTCTTTTTTTTAAAAATAAATAAAAATTAAGCCATCATCACTGTGTGGGGTTTGGTTTGACTCTTACCGTGTCTACAACAAATTACAAAAACAGTGGGACACATGGGGAACTAATTTGATAGAGAACAAGTATAACGAGGATAAACTAAACAATATGCAAAAAAAAGAAGACGAAAATGACATAGACTTTCATACTATAAGCAAAATTAACAAGAAAAAATCTATTATTTTTATCCATTCAAGTTTACCTCAAACCATTCTTACGCCCTAAATAGACAAAAGCAGGGGCGGATTTAGCAAGGTCTATGGGTGCCACGTGACACTGCTTCGTCGGAAAATTTTACGAAATATGTACCGTGTGAGAAGGGTAAAAACAGATATATAGTTATATATTATAAATGTGACATTCCTTCAATCAAAGTTGTTGAATTATGAGAACCATACCAAGCTGATGGGTAATTGTGTCTTTACTCAATTAAGATATTTTGTAAAGTTGTTAGAAAGTCTGTTAGGCATAGTTAGTTAGTTTACAGAGTTAGCTCGTTCTCTAACTATAAAATGTACTATACAGTTCAGTTTGTGAATAAGATTGATTTTCCTCTCTTCTCTCTCAAGCCTACTCTTGCATGATTCTCAAGCTTATGAGTTCTTCCATGGCTGCTAACATGGTATCAGAGCTTTCACTATCGATCTGAAGCAGTTTCTGTCTCAACTCAAAGTAGCAAGCTCGTGGGAAGTTATTTCATCTAAGCCAGATCTGAATCGTAAAGCATGGCAATCGAGGAAGAGCAAATCAACACAAACGGAGTGAATGTTCAGCAGACAATTCACGCCATTCCTACACTAGATCACAATCATCCATTGTTTCTGCAGCCAACTGACACTCCAGGTAGTTCTCTCATCTCACTTCAGTTAACTGGATCTGAAAACTATGCTTTATAAAGTCGGTCTATGAGAATTGGTCTGCTAGGTAAAAGCAAGTTGGGGTTTGTAGATGGTAGATTTCCTAAGTCTCAATTTCCAGCAATGTATCACGATCAGTGGGAGAAAGTAAATGTTGTAGTTCTGTCCTGGATCATGAATTCAGTTAGACCTGGGCTTCTAAGTAGTGTAGTATATGCGTCAAATGCTAGCAAAGTATGGGAGGATCTAAAGGAGAGATTCAACAAAGTGAATGGATCTAGAGTCCTGTTTCTGCATAGAGAGATTAATACTCTCACTCAAGGAACAGTGACAATTGCAGATTACTTCTCTAAATTGAGGGATCTCTGGGATGAGTTTGATGCCATCATGCCCTGCCCAGGTTGTCCTTGTCCAGAATCTCAAAGCTATTTGCAACATTTCGAGTACCAGAGGTTACTCCAGTTCTTAATGGGACTGAATGAGTCATATTCTCAATCCAGGAGTCAAATTATGATGATGAGCCCAACTCCAAGTGTTAATAAGGCCTACTCAATGTTAATTGATCAGGAGAGCCAGAGAACATTAGTCAATTTTACTCAGGGGATGCACATTGGTGATACACATGATGGAACTGCTCTGTTAAGTCACACTAGACCTAGTCACAATGATGTTACTGCATTGTTTGGCAACAATAGGGTTACTAATCATATGAGTGGTAGTGGCGGTTTATCTCATGGTGCTAGTAGTAGCAGCAACTATAGAGGAAAAAAACCTCAGGTCTTATGTGAAGTTTGTGGTTTCAAAAGACACACAAAGGATACCTGTTACAGGATTGTTGGATATCCTGCAGATTGGAAAGGGAGAAAGAAGGGAGTACCAGCAAACTATCAGTCCAGCCATGCAGGTAATATTCCCTTTGCCAATCATACTAGTGTTCTGACTACAGGCATAGGGACAAACAGTCAACACAACTACTGGCCTTAACAGATTGGTCATCAACTACCTCTGCAGCAATTTCCCACTGAAGGCTACTCACCAAATCTCCAAATGCAGTCTCACAACTCCAGAGTTCTTCCTCAGATGCAACAGTTTGACCTTCAGCAAAGTAGAGGAGATTCTCAACTCATGCATCATGTCAGGCCTTACTTCACTCCTGAGCAGTACCAACAGGTTATTCAAATGCTGAATAAGAGTCCTGCTGATGGCTCATCCACCAGTACTACCGCAGCAGGTAACTTGATATCCCTAATGTCCAATTACATGAGTCAGAATTGGATAATTGATACAGGTGCATCCAACCATATGACATCAGA